ACAATTTCGAAATTAAAAATAAATAATATTTAATGTTTATTAAAGGCTATTCAGTATTTTCCTTTCTATAATATATCTAAAATCATTGAAATAGATGATCTGCTGATATTTTTAACTAAAATAGATTGAAACTGATTGGAGAACCTACTTGTTTTAAAAACTCTTCAAAATAATCGTTTTACAGTACATTTTTCAAGATTACTTATTAATTAATATTATAATATTGTTACATTACGTTAGATAAAGATTTCATTATCTTGCCTACATATTTTTTCTTCCTATTATACAAATTAATATTTTAATTTTGTTAAAGAGTATATGGAATGTATCGCAAGATGTGTACACATACAGTTACACCCCATATGCGCACTATACTTGTTTCTTTTGCTGTATACATATGCGTATTGTTTAATAGAAACATTTATTATCTGAAAGGAAAAAATGTTCCTGCTGATGCACAAAAGCGTAACGTCATATACTGATATATCTAAACACTTATGATACTTGCCCTACAGAATGACATAATTTAGATAAAGGAAAATACTTAAATAAAGTGTGTTAGTATTTTGTTTTATATTATAGAAACAAATTTGATGTAAAGCTTATATAATTGAAGTTGCATAAAATTACTCTGCTTGCTACAGTATGCTTGCAGATATCCAAACTGTCGAAACGCAATCTCTGCAATATACAATTGTTGTATGCATATATGTATGCAAAACATATAATGGTGCGAGTTGGGAAAAAAATGCTTTACGATTTAGAACAGATACATTAGAAGCAATTGTACTAAGCATTTAACGAATAAAATTCATTTATATATTATTTATTTGCCCAATATTTCTGTTATTAAATTACGTAATTTTTCCTTAACAGACACCTATTGTAATGAAATAACATACAGTGCACAAGATAGTTAATCAATATATATTATAGAGAAACAATAGAAAATCCGGGTACTAATTTTAGATATTTTTTTAAGGGATGAATGTTGTTTGTGTATATATTTCCTATCGATATGTACAAATAAAACTTGTATATATATTTAGGACATTCAGGACTGCCGCGCAAGACTGCACGCGCCAATCAGGCGCGAGAACGGACGCGGACGCGCGAAGACTCCCAATCAGGAGCGAGGACTGCCGTGCGTGCGCGAAGACGTCCAATCAGGCGCGAGAACTGCCGCGCACGCCGCCAAGACTCCCAATCAGGCGCGAGGACTGCCGCGGACGCGCGAAGACTGCCAATCAGGAGCGAGGACTGCCGCGCACGCCGCCATAACTGCCAATCAGGCGCGAGGACTGCCGAACATGCGCGAAATTGCAAATTTAAAGGTTTAAAGGTTTAAAATTTCGTTGGCGCTAAAATGTAGCGTCAGCCATTGGTTGAACAATGAAGCAACTACTTACTCTTTGTTCAACCAATGGTTGACGCTACCTTTTAGCGACAATGAAATTATCTTCCTTTATTCCTCCATTGTCCTCCAGACGGTCCTTTTATGTAATAAATATAATGCTCCATCTGTATACGTAATACGTCTATGCTCCGAGATGTAGGAATTACCTGGTCTGAAGTACTGTCGATCTTGTCGACGTTTGTGGTTTAATTAATCGATTCAATGATTATTGTATATAAATCATCGAATATCTTACTTATATTTTGATCTGTCGAAAAAATTATTACATTGACATTATAGATCAATATATATAATTGCAAATTTATAATTTAATATTGCTAGTCAAATGCCTAATGTCATAATGTCTAAGAATGTATATTATATATATTGATGTATATGATAATGTTAAAAATTAAAAATAAATTGCCATCAGTATTAAATAATTAAATAAAAATGGAGGAGAGAGCAATGCTATGGATGCTTTCTCTTGTTATGTTTGTTGGATCTTGTCTTGGAGCTGGATCACTGCCATTAAGTTAAATAAATTTATCAGAAGAAGTAAGATATAGAAGTGAAGAAGAATATTTTATGTAATATAAAATTATGTATGTATATAATAGGTGTATATCAGAATTCATTGTATCTTGTAATTTACGTGCAATATGTTTTCCATAGGACAAGTTACAATTAGTTTCAATATTAGGAGCAGGACTCCTTGTTGGTACTGCGCTAGCGATTATACCTGACTGTACCTGAGGGTGTAAGAGCATTATTTACTGTGGATGGTATTAAATAATGAAAAAGGTTCGTATAGTAGTATTGTGCAATTGCATGTTTACTGATTACCATATTTCATGAAATTAACATCTGATTAATAGTATTCCTGTTCTTTTTCCTTTTTTTACAGGCAATTTACATACTTTAACTTGGAATTAGTTTAGTACTTGGTTTATGCTTTTAATTGATCAATGTTCAGCCAGAAAAAGTGGAGGAAGACAAGAAAAGTATTACAGCAACTTTAGGTCTTATAGTAGATGCTGCTAGTTGATTGGCGGTGTTGCATTGGGAGCTGCTGCTACTACATCTCAAGCTGATGTCGAAGTGTCTTAGTTTTTCTTCGCAATAATGTTACACAAGGTAAGAAGGTTATATACAATGTTTCAGAAATGAATTAACAAGCGCTTATAAAATATGTAAGTTAATATAATTAGCTTATCAATTTCTTTTATCGCTGAACATTAAATTATATTTTATAGGCGCCAGATGCATTTGGACTTGTGTCAATTTCTTCTTCATGAAGGTGTAGATAGAAAGTAAGAAAATAAGCAGACACTTATTAATTTTCTCTCTTGCGGCACCGTGTCTTGCACTTGTGACATATTTTGGAATTGGAAAAGTAATGTGAGTGAGTAATGTAAGCTGTGTTTGCCATAATAACTCTTTATATATATTCTAAAGATATTTCTACACAAAGTTTATGTAACAATATTGTATGGAAATATTACATTAGTATAGTAAATCTTATATTTGGATGAGGGCACTTTTACGAATTACATCCTTTTCCTGTCACTTAAAAAGAAGAAAACTTTAAGAACTTCCAATTTATTTCAAATAAATAATAATTATAATTAATTAATAACAAATAAATTAAAGTTTTTATTAAAATAAATTTGTTTAAATGAGTACAGAATATGAGAATACTAATATTAACGTAAAATTAATATGTATGGTCATATTGCTCATAATCTCATCTAAATTTAATTTAAATATTTGCAATTTTGGTAATAATACAAATAAAACTTGTATCAAGTAATATGAATATAATTTTGAATTTATTTTTAAGCTAAAAATCTTGGACCTTACTTTGTATCTAAAACATCCAACAATTTAGAGGGACTTTCTATTAAAGGACTTTAATTCTCTATATATATATCTACTGACAATTTCGAAATTAAAAATAAATAATATTTAATGTTTATTAAAGGCTATTCAGTATTTTCCTTTCTATAATATATCTAAAATCATTGAAATAGATGATCTGCTGATATTTTTAACTAAAATAGATTGAAACTGATTGGAGAACCTACTTGTTTTAAAAACTCTTCAAAATAATCGTTTTACAGTACATTTTTCAAGATTACTTATTAATTAATATTATAATATTGTTACATTACGTTAGATAAAGATTTCATTATCTTGCCTACATATTTTTTCTTCCTATTATACAAATTAATATTTTAATTTTGTTAAAGAGTATATGGAATGTATCGCAAGATGTGTACACATACAGTTACACCCATATGCGCACTATACTTGTTTCTTTTGCTGTATACATATGCGTATTGTTTAATAGAAACATTTATTATCTGAAAGGAAAAAATGTTCCTGCTGATGCACAAAAGCGTAACGTCATATACTGATATATCTAAACACTTATGATACTTGCCCTACAGAATGACATAATTTAGATAAAGGAAAATACTTAAATAAAGTGTGTTAGTATTTTGTTTTATATTATAGAAACAAATTTGATGTAAAGCTTATATAATTGAAGTTGCATAAAATTACTCTGCTTGCTACAGTATGCTTGCAGATATCCAAACTGTCGAAACGCAATCTCTGCAATATACAATTGTTGTATGCATATATGTATGCAAAACATATAATGGTGCGAGTTGGGAAAAAAATGCTTTACGATTTAGAACAGATACATTAGAAGCAATTGTACTAAGCATTTAACGAATAAAATTCATTTATATATTATTTATTTGCCCAATATTTCTGTTATTAAATTACGTAATTTTTCCTTAACAGACACCGATTGTAATGAAATAACATACAGTGCACAAGATAGATTAATCAATATATATTATAGAGAAACAATAGAAAATGCGGGTACTAATTTTAGATATTTTTTTAAAGAATGAATGTTGTTTGTGTATATATTTCCTATCGATATGTACAAATAACACTTGTATATATATTTAGGACATTCAGAACTGCCGCGCAAGACTGCACGCGCCAATCAGGCGCGAGAACGGACGCGGACGCGCGAAGACTCCCAATCAGGAGCGAGGACTGCCGTGCGTGCGCGAAGACGTCCAATCAGGCGCGAGAACTGCCGCGCGCGCCGCCAAGACTCCCAATCAGGCGCGAGAACTGCCGCTCATGCGTGAAAGCTCCCAAACAGGCGCGAGGACTGCCGAACATGCGCGAAATTGCAAATTTAAAGGTTTAAAGGTTTAAATTTCGTTGGCGCTAAAATGGGTAGCGTCAGCCATTGGTTGAACAATGAAGCAACTACTTACTTCTTTGTTCAACCAATGGTTGACGCTACCTTTTAGCGACAATGAAATTGCACCTTTATTCCTCCATTGTAGACGGTCCTTTTATGTAATAAATATAACGCTCCATCTGTATATGTAACATACGTCTATGCTCCGAGATGTAGGAATTACCTGGTCTGAAGATACCTGGTACTGTCGATCTTGTCGACCTTTGTGGTTTAATTAATCGATTCAATGATTATTGTATATAAATCATCGAATATCTTACTTATATTTTGATCTGTCGAAAAAATTATTACATCGACATCATAGATCAATATATATAATTGCAAATTTATAATTTAATATTGCTAGCCAAATACCTAATGTCATAATGTCTAAGATGTATATTATATATATTGATGTATATAATAATGTTAAAAATTAAAGATAAATTGCCATCAGTATTAAATAATTAAATAAAAATGGAGGAGAGAGCAATGCTATGGATGCTTTCTCTTGTTATGTTTGTTGGATCTTGTCTTGGAGCTGGATCACTGCCATTAAGTTAAATAAATTTATCAGAAGAAGTAAGAAGAATATTTTATGTAATATGAAATTATGTATGTATATAATAGGTGTATATCAGAATTCATTGTATCTTGTAATTTACGTGCAATATGTTTTCCATAGGACAAGTTACAATTAGTTTCAATATTAGGAGCAGGACTCCTTGTTGGTACTGCGCTAGCGATTATACCTGACTATACCTGAGGGTGTAAGAGCATTATTTACTGTGGATGGTATTACTAAACTGGAAAAGGTTCATATAGCATGCAATTGCATGTTTACTGATTGCCACATTTCATGAAATTAACATCTAATTAATAGTATTCCTGTTCTTTTTTCTTTTTTTACAGGCAATTTACATACTTTAATTGGAATTAGTTTAGTACTTGGTTTATGCTTTTAATTGATCAATGTTCAGCCAGAAAAAGTGGAGGAAGACAAGAAAAGTATTACAGCAACTTTAGGTCTTATAGTATATGCTGCTGGTTGATTGGCGGTGTTGCATTGGGAGCTGCTGCTACTACATCTCAAGCTGATGCTCGAAGTGTCTTAGTTTTTCTTCGCAATAATGTTACACAAAGTAAGAAGGTTATATACAATGTTTCAGAAATGAATTAACAAGCGCTTATAAAATATGTAAGTTAATATAATTAGCTTATCAATTTTTTTTATCGTTGAACATTAAATTATTTTTTTATAGGCGCCAGATGCATTTGGACTTGTGTCATTTCTTCTTCATGAAGGTGTAGATAGAGAGTAGTAAGAAAATACTTATATAAGCAGACACTTATTAATTTTCTCTCTTGCGGCACCGTGTCTTGCACTTGTGACATATTTTGGAATTGGAAAAGTGAGTAATGTAAACTATGTTCGCCATAATAACTCTTTATATATATTCTAAAGATATTTCTACACAAAGTTTATGTAACAATATTGTATGGAAATATTACATTAGTATAGTAAATCTTATATTTGAATAAGGGCACTTTTACGAATTATATCCTTTTCTTGTCACTTAGAAAGAAAAAACTTTAAGATTTCCAATTTATTTCAAATAGATAATAATTATAATTAATTAAACAAATAAATTAAAGTTTTTATTAAAATAAATTTGTTTAAATAAGTACAGAATGTGAGAATACTAATATTAACGTAAAATTAATGTGTATGGTCATATTGCTCATAATCTCATCTAAATTTAATTTAAATATTTGCAATTTTGGTAATAATACAAATAAAACTTGTATCAAGTAGTATGAATATAATTTTGAATTTATTTTTAAGCTGAAAATCTTGGACCTTACTTTGTATCTAAAACATCCAACAATTTAGAGCGACTTTCTATTAAAGGACTTTAATTCTCTATATATATCTACTGACAATTTCGAAATTAAAAATAAATAATATTTAATGTTTATTAAAGGCTATTCAGTATTTTCCTTTCTATAATATATCTGAAATCATTGAAATAGATGATCTGCTGATATTTTTAACTAGAATAGATTGAAACTGATTGGAGAACCTACTTGTTTTAAAAACTCTTCAAAATAATCGTTTTACAGTACATTTTTCAAGATTACTTATTAATTAATATTATAATATTGTTACATTACGTTACATAAAGATTTCATTATCTTGCCTACATATTATTTCTTCCTATTATACAAATTAATATTTTAATTTTGTTTGAGAGTATATGGAATGTATCGCAAGATGTGTACACATACAGTTACACCCATATGCGCACTATACTTGTTTCTTTTCAGCTCTATACATATGTGTATTGTTTAATAGAAACATTTATTATCTGAAAGGAAAAAATGTTCCTGCTGATGCACAAAAGCGTAACCATATACTGATATATCTAAACATTTATGATACTTGCTCTACAGAATGACATAATTTAGAGCAAATACTTAAATAAAATGTGTTAGTATTTTGTTTTATATTATAGAAACAAATTTGATGTAAAGTTTATATAATGAAGTTGCATAAAATTACTCTTCTTGCTACAGTATGCTTGCAGATATCCAAACTGTCGGGACGCAATCTCTGCAATATACAATTGTTGTAAATATATGTATGCAAAGCATATAATGGTGCAAGTTGGAAAAAAATGCTTTACGATTTAGAACAGGTGCATTAGAAGCAATTGTACTAATTATTTAACGAGTAAAATCATTTATATATTATTTATTTGCCCAATATTCCTGTTATTAAATTACGTAATTTTTCCTTAACAGACACCGATTGTAATGAAATAACATACAGTGCACAAGATAGATTAATCAATATATATTATAGAGAAACAATAGAAAATGCGGGTACTAATTTTAGATATTTTTTTAAAGAATGAATGTTGTTTGTGTATATATTTCCTATCGATATGTACAAATAACACTTGTATATATATTTAGGACATTCAGAACTGCCGCGCAAGACTGCACGCGCCAATCAGGCGCGAGAACGGACGCGGACGCGCGAAGACTCCCAATCAGGAGCGAGGACTGCCGTGCGTGCGCGAAGACGTCCAATCAGGCGCGAGAACTGCCGCGCGCGCCGCCAAGACTCCCAATCAGGCGCGAAGACGTCCAATCAGGCGCGAGAACTGCCGCTCATGCGTGAAAGCTCCCAAACAGGCGCGAGGACTGCCGAACATGCGCGAAATTGCAAATTTAAAGGTTTAAAGGTTTAAATTTCGTTGGCGCTAAAATGGGTAGCGTCAGCCATTGGTTGAACAATGAAGCAACTACTTACTTCTTTGTTCAACCAATGGTTGACGCTACCTTTTAGCGACAATGAAATTGCACCTTTATTCCTCCATTGTAGACGGTCCTTTTATGTAATAAATATAACGCTCCATCTGTATATGTAACATACGTCTATGCTCCGAGATGTAGGAATTACCTGGTCTGAAGATACCTGGTACTGTCGATCTTGTCGACCTTTGTGGTTTAATTAATCGATTCAATGATTATTGTATATAAATCATCGAATATCTTACTTATATTTTGATCTGTCGAAAAAATTATTACATCGACATCATAGATCAATATATATAATTGCAAATTTATAATTTAATATTGCTAGCCAAATACCTAATGTCATAATGTCTAAGATGTATATTATATATATTGATGTATATAATAATGTTAAAAATTAAAGATAAATTGCCATCAGTATTAAATAATTAAATAAAAATGGAGGAGAGAGCAATGCTATGGATGCTTTCTCTTGTTATGTTTGTTGGATCTTGTCTTGGAGCTGGATCACTGCCATTAAGTTAAATAAATTTATCAGAAGAAGTAAGAAGAATATTTTATGTAATATGAAATTATGTATGTATATAATAGGTGTATATCAGAATTCATTGTATCTTGTAATTTACGTGCAATATGTTTTCCATAGGACAAGTTACAATTAGTTTCAATATTAGGAGCAGGACTCCTTGTTGGTACTGCGCTAGCGATTATACCTGACTATACCTGAGGGTGTAAGAGCATTATTTACTGTGGATGGTATTACTAAACTGGAAAAGGTTCATATAGCATGCAATTGCATGTTTACTGATTGCCACATTTCATGAAATTAACATCTAATTAATAGTATTCCTGTTCTTTTTTCTTTTTTTACAGGCAATTTACATACTTTAATTGGAATTAGTTTAGTACTTGGTTTATGCTTTTAATTGATCAATGTTCAGCCAGAAAAAGTGGAGGAAGACAAGAAAAGTATTACAGCAACTTTAGGTCTTATAGTATATGCTGCTGGTTGATTGGCGGTGTTGCATTGGGAGCTGCTGCTACTACATCTCAAGCTGATGCTCGAAGTGTCTTAGTTTTTCTTCGCAATAATGTTACACAAAGTAAGAAGGTTATATACAATGTTTCAGAAATGAATTAACAAGCGCTTATAAAATATGTAAGTTAATATAATTAGCTTATCAATTTTTTTTATCGTTGAACATTAAATTATTTTTTTATAGGCGCCAGATGCATTTGGACTTGTGTCATTTCTTCTTCATGAAGGTGTAGATAGAGAGTAGTAAGAAAATACTTATATAAGCAGACACTTATTAATTTTCTCTCTTGCGGCACCGTGTCTTGCACTTGTGACATATTTTGGAATTGGAAAAGTGAGTAATGTAAGCTATGTTTGCCATAACAACTCTTTATATATATTCTAAAGATATTTCTGCACAAAGTTTATGTAACAATATTGTATGGAAATATTACATTAGTATAGTAAATCTTATATTTGAATAAGGGCACTTTTACGAATTACATCCTTTTCCTGTCACTTAAAAGGAAAAAAACTTTAAGATTTCCAATTTATTTCAAATAAATAATAATTATAATCAATTAAACAAATAAATTAAAGTTTTTATTAAAATAAATTTGTTTAAATGAGTACAGATTATGAGAATACTAATATTAACGTAAAATTAATATGTATGGTCATATTGCTCATAATCTCATCTAAATTTACTTTAAATATTTGCAATTTTAGTAATAATACAAATAAAACTTGTATCAAGTAATATGAATATAATTTTGATTAGTTTTAAGCTAAAAATCTTGGACCTTATTTTCTATCTAAAGCATCCAACAATGTAAAGAGACTTTTTATTAAAGGACTTTAATTCTCTGTATATCTACTTACAATTTCGGAATTAAAAATAAATAATATTTAATGTTTATTAAAGGCTATTCAGTATTTTCCTTTCTATAATACATCTAAAATCATTGAAATAGATGATCTGATATTTTTAACTAAAATAAGTTGAAATTGATTGGAGAACCTACTTGTTTTAAAAACTCTTCAAAATAATCGTTTTACAGTACATTTTTCAAGATTACTTATTAATTAATATTATAATATTGTTACATTACGTTACATAAAGATTTCATTATCTTGCCTACATATTTTCTCTTCCTACTTCAAATTAATATTTTAATTTTGTTAAAGAGTATATGGAATATATCGCAAGATGTGTACACACACAATGCGCACTGTACTTGTTTTTTTTGCTCTAAACATATGTATATTGTTTAATAGAAACTTTATTATCTGAAAAGGAAAAATGTTCCTGTTGATGCACAAAATTGTAACCATATACTGACTATATCTAAACATTTATAATACTTGCTCTATAGAATGACATAATTTAGAGTAAATACTTAAATAAAATATGTTAGTATTTTGTTTTATACGCATTGGAGTGAGTAGGTCCGGTATTCATAGTCCGATCTTATATTTAAGATTGTCTTATGCCGGGTCTACAATAAATAATTTGAGCCCTAAACCTTAAGAAATTGACCAATCACAGTCGAGTATTTTTTTCATACTCGAATGTGATTGGTCAATTTCTTAATATTTAGGACTTAAATTGTTTATTGTAAACCCGGCCTTAAGTCTTGCCCGAGGTTGACTTAAGACCTCATTCAACCAATCAAATAGCTGCGTAGCATTACAAGCTCTAACTTAAAAATATGTTAGTACGTGCAACGAGAATAAACCTTTTACATAGTGACTTTAATTTTGACTCACGAATCCAATCATAACCATTATATAGTGCCATTATAGTGCGGGGCATAACGGACAAGACAAAATAGCCGCGTCACTGTTAATCTTCCGTGCAAAGTGAAAAATACACTAATATGTTAATATACATCTAGCAGCGGACAAACGGAACACCGTCGCCAAAAAAAATGAAAAAATAATACTAAAATCTGTTAGAAAACATTTAGATATGAGAAATGCAGTTTTTCTCTATTTATGTGTCAACAGCAACACAACATTTTGATAGTTATACTTTTCTATCTATATTTTTTTCATCAAAATATTTGCATAAATATTTACAGTTTAATAGCCTAAAATTATCTGTACCATAAATGTTATAAATATTTCCTAAACCTTTTTAAAATTTTGTTTTGCCTGTTACAACAATATTTCAAAAATTTATAGATTATAAATGTATTCATTATATTATAAGTAGTCTCATTTTATTATTATTGAACATTTTTATAATGTTCTTTTCATCAATATATTCTCAGAATATTCTAATATTGTCGAAAAATTTTTGTAGAATCTTTATAGAATATGGGTCTGTCGGGAGCGTCCCGTTTGACCACGTTGTGTCTTACCACAGCCAATTATATCGACCTGTGCCTAGGGTAACCAGCAACGATTAACCAATCAGAGAGTCCTATTTTGAATTGGCCAATTGGCGACGTGGTCAATCGGGTGCCACCCGTCTGTTCTTTTTAGCTGCACTGCTGCACTAGTGAAATAAGTTAGAATGAGACAAACATGCTTTCTTTCACTCTAACTAATTGCACTAGTGCATCAGTGCAGCTGAAAAGAACAGACCCTATGTTTATGCTATCTGGGATGCGTACTATAGTTATTTACAATTACATATATCGTGAAATTGGTATAAACTAGACCTTTATTTAAACTGTCATCTTCCTTCGTTTTTAGATCACATTTTTTCACTACTGGCGGCGCATATGTTTCCCAGTCCGCCCTCTTCTTTGCAATTAAATACCCTAGTATTCAGCTCGTAATTTTAGATTCAGTCAGCGGTGAAAGTCTCGCTGTGAGAAGTCTGGTAGTTGCTCATCGGCAGTCATACGGATTGTTTGGAGTATACTGCACTGTAGAAAGAGAGATTGATATTAGATTATTTAAATAGAACTTTTTTTAATGGTTCAGTACAAATAAATGTGTAATTGATATACACACGTATCAGATGTATATGTATATAAAATGCATACATTGTGTTACATCTTTTAGAATTCGAAATGCTTTTGTCTTCAAAGACAACTATGAATCAAAGTGAAAGTTAGGTTAGATTAAGTTCTTCAAGACTTTACTTGTCGTTTCATGAACATAATTAAGTGAGTGTATTAATAGCTGTGTAACGAGTTTTAAAGTTTTTATTTCAAGGAAAAAACTTTTACTACGTGTACCGCACATTGTCATATATACTTATATATGACACGACCTTGTCAAAGAAGATACTTGGAGAGGAATTATAGCTGAACAAAATATAATTTGGTAAGACATAAAAAGTAAAAAAAATTATGTATTTTTCTGTTTACAAAACAGATTGAAATAATAACATCGATTAATAATTCAGCGTCTTATTCTTGCGCTACAAGACAGCAACAATATATTTTTTATTTTATTATCAAATAAATTTATGTCAAATTATTCCAAGAACTTATATTAAATTATTCCAATAACTTTTTGATTATCTATAGAAAATACTAAATAAGCACATTTGTCGAATAATTCATTGGAAACTTGATTTAATATAAATACATTTTTATTTTAACAGAAAAAAACCTTTTTTCTTTTATTAAAGTTTTATTGTTTCCGCATGGAAATAGTAAAGATTAAATCAACATATGAATATTATTTTTTTGATCAAAATGTTATAATAATAAAGATTAGTTCTTTCTTATGTCTTATTTCATTCATTCATGTAATGCGTATAAAGTTCAGTTGAGAAAATTAGATCAATTTTTACTCAATATAAACATATTTCTAATGAAATTGACTTTAAACTGAATATACTTTAAAAGAATTTGCATAATTCATATTTTCAAAAATGTATTTATAAAAATTGATTTAAAATTATATTTCATACTACTAATATATCCTATTTGCGTATTAAGGACATTAACTTTTATTATTCGTAATCCATTTAATTATTCGTAATTGTCGCATTTTCTTTTTACTAAAATATATTAAGATTGCAGTACATTAAAGTACTTCTAAGGTTGAATTATTGAAATATCATTTAACGAATTTGTAACAGTTACTTAGAGAGAAAAATAGCTATGCAAATTATTTTCATCGTTATTTGTTATTAAATTATTTTCATCGTTATTTGTTATTAAATTATTTTATTCAAGCTTTGAAAGCGAAAATTCATATTCAATATAAATTAAACTCAATATCGTTGGTTTTTGAACGTCATCATCATTGATCATGAGATTGGAGTGCGCGCACTATATATATATATATATATATATATATATATATATATATATATATTTCACTATCATCAAATCGACATTATGCAATATATCTGACAAACGTAGGCGATTCTTGGAAGAAGTGTTCACCTGTCGGTGAAAATAGAGTGACGTAAAAGCATGGTAGTGTAGGAGAGCGCGTGAAATTTTCAGATCATATTCCACGAAATAGACGTCACTACTACGCAGTGTGATCATCATTATCGTCTACCAAAAACGTTTTTCTACGAGTTCGAAAATTCATAGAAAAGCACACACTTTGTAATAGTGCAGGTACTCAAACCATTATATGTATATAATAGCTGATGATAAATTTTTATAAACCATTTAAAACATATTAAATATGTAATGAACACGCTTAAAGGATAAGTATTATATAAACAAATCGACATTTAAGAAAGATACATAACTGAAACCATCAAAGTTTATTGTTGTCGCTTTTTATCGTGATTTTGAATTGTTTCTGTCGCTGTGATGGTTTTTGAAATAATTATCATCGCGAATATATTTTAACATTTAAAGAAAATTGATAATATACAACTATAATATTCATTTACGATATTTGTTCGGAAAATTATATATATAATTTTATTATATATATATATATATATATATATATTTATATATTTATATTTATATATTTATATATTTATATATAACTGGTGAGGTTTAGATATATAAAAAAGTAAAATAAAAGAAATTAATTGGAATTTATGTATAATTCCATTAATTTGTTTTCTTCTAATTTATTTTCTTACATATAACCTTGCTAATTCTTCAGTTACAAGTTAATTGTATTGCATGTATTTTGCAGCTTATTTATGTAGAATCAAAATAATTGAAATATTGTTTTTTTTACTTATATCTCTAAAGTTCAGTTTATCTGAAAGGAATAATATTTATCAATCTTGCTAGTAATACAACACAAAAATCTCTAATATTGCATACTTAAAAAAGGATTAATTATCCAGTTTTTTAATTAAAATTTTGCTCTCGTATATTATTATAAATACTAGTTTAAAAAGTCTATAGTTTTTAATACACTTTTATTTTGACATTTATAATATATAAAATCATATGTGTTACAACATCATAATGTATACGTGAATGTGTTGCGTCGGCGGATTCTCCGAAGTTACGTTCCGTCCGTGGCGTTTATCTCGAAAAATCTACATAATGTGGTTAAAAGATCGCTTCGCGGAATTCCTTGCTTACTGAGTACGTCCCACATCTTTCCGTCGTCTTGTCAATAATCAGACCAGCTATTAATCGAGAATCGCGTATAATAATTGAAAATTGTGAGAGAGTATATTTATGGATAAAAGTTTAACGAAATTATTTGCATTCTCGTACATTTGTAAATACATCATTTCAAAAATTTTGAAGGAAATAATATCTATAAGATTTTTTCTTTAATCTAATAAGATTTAGTCGGATATATAGAGTTTTGAAATTTCATTAGAGTTTTAAAACAAATAATTTTATTTTAAAATGCACTGTTCTTCAAGATTTATAATAGCAGTGCATTTTAACTTTCAGAATTCATAATATTAAAAGACATGATGAGTGTCTTGACAAAATGTATGTTGAAGAAACGTTTCTCGTGTTTAACAATATTTTAAAGACACAAACTATTTTTACTCTTTCTTGAAAAGGTTTTATAATTACGCGCAAGATTATCCAATTTTTTAAATTGAAACATGTATTAGCAATGCATTCGATTATCACAATGAATTAGCATAATAATCTCTTCAATTTCCTTTGTTATTATGAAATGTTTAAATTCTAAAAAGATAGGAATGTTACGGAGGAGTGTTCATAAAAGTGAGGAAATCTCATTTGATAGAAACATTAGATTTTGCAATTTAATGAAAGAAAATACAAGAAGAATCGGCAAAGATTTTCATGCGTTTTGTTCGTACTGTTTGTCTAAAATAACATAAACAATATATTCACACAAAAGTTTCGATCCCGAAAATACATATAATTATTATCAACTAGTCTAATATGCATAATATTCGATGTGTTTGCATTCGAACTCTAGTATGCAAGTGTGATCCATCCTACAAAAGCAATAGGGTTGCATACTATCCACATTATGATCTACATTATGATTAAAATTGCATAAACATTTTTTGTTCACTCTTTCTTTTATCGTATTTTTCTCTTTCTTCTACTTCTTATTTTTGTCCTTTTTTTTCTCATATATTTCTGTCCCTCCTCTCCTTCACTCTCAGAAAATGAAATGATGCGAGATTCCTTGAAGTTGAATTGTACTAGCTTTGCTAAGCTCAGATTCTTAAAGAAAAAACGCCTTCCGTCTCCCTCTCTCTTGTTTGCATTCCTATGATTCAAGAGAGATCTAATGACAAAAAGCGCACAAACGAATTGTCTTCTCGTTTTGCAACATATTTCTCAGCCACCAAGAAATTAATCACAACGGTTCGATCTCTTTTTGAAAAATTATACTCCTCTAGGGCTCGCAGATTTCCAAATAATTTTCATCCACTTTCGATAACACAAGTTATTTTCACAAACACTATTCCACCGCTATTAAATCTGTACATCTCTACATGTATCTGTATTTGATTCGAGCATTGAGGGTGCATTTCAATAAAATATATAAATGTCAATTTAGAGTAGAACTTGGTTAATTTTAACACTCTTTTGCGCGCACCCGCGTGTGTGTGTATGTAAATATTCATTGTTCTAACGTACTTCGAAACTTTTGACATTTATATATATTACTTACACAACTTATATATATAAATTTGGAGAAAAATAGAGAGAAAAGGAGAGAAAGCATCATTTAAACGTCATTATTTTTTGTAATATTATACAATAAAGATTCTAAAATAACACTAAAGTGATAAATAATATTTAATCCAATAATTGATCCAATAATTGATCCAATATTTAATGGCTTCTAAAAAAATTTACATAAAAAATATAAAACGACTCTAAAGTAGAGCATTTTGTAATTAATTATCTTCTTTAATTTCATTTTATCTTTAACACTTCAAATATTTTATATTGACTTGTTATATATTTTTTCCAATTTTTCTATTTAAAAGTTGCAATATATTTTAGAAAGGCAATTTTAAAAAGTTAATATTCAGTTATGCAACATAATATATGAAATCATATCTTGTAATTTGTTCATATACTTTTTATTTATTTCTTTTAGCCAATTTATGTGAAAGTGATTTATATTATAAAATAAAGAAAAGGATCTCTCTCTTTTCTTTCACACACACACACACACACACACACACACACACACACGACATGCAATCTTTTATAGTTATATAACAAATAGAATATATTTTATTTGTTTCTACTCGAAAATTTTATCTTCGCGGAAATTCGCATATCCCACTATGTGCTTGCTATTTCACCTTCGGGGACATATGTCGAAGACAATAATAGCCATGAAAATTTAAAACGGAATATATACGTGTGCGCGTGCACAAACATGCCCCACGAAGAAAGAACCGAAATGAAAGAGGTTTCTAGATGGCTTGGCCTTCTGATATTGCGACACTCGACCACTCGAGGCCCCGAGTCCCCGTTTCGTGGAAGCACGAGTTCGAGCGATTCCACAAATACTTTGAAATCAATGACACACGGAATTCACGTACGAGAACAAGGCAGAATGTGTACTCTTATAGGAACGTAATAAGTACATATACCCGTAAATAGAATAGCTGGGATATTTTTATAAACAATGCACAAGTTGTAATATTGATGTAACTTTCCTTTAATGAAGATATTGAAACAATTTTTTTAAATTTATCTCTAACTCTAATAATAAGAAAGTTATTATATTCAATAAAAATATATTTTTTATAATTTAATATAAAACAAAAGATTGAAAAAGATTTATATGTAAAATTTAATATTATAAGAGAACTGTGTGAAAACAATTTATAGCAAACATTGAATTAAACAAGAATTGAGGAGAATCTCCATCTTATTCATAAAATTACAATATATTTCTAAGATGTTTAAAAAATAACAACATTCTTTTCAAAGGCATTAAAAGATGGTCGAAAGGTGCACAAAACTTGCAACTCTTTAGAATCTTAATATTATTTAATTTCATTTATTTTAAATATTTTAAAACTATATTTCTAAATTCTTTTATTTTATATTAACAGTTTTAATTCATACTTTGCAATATAAATTTTATTTCTAAAATTATATTCAGCTATGTAATT